GCATGACAATTGCATGAGACAAAAGACGATCAAAAATGTTAGAAAATCAGCCGTAGAACCACTAGGATGCCATATACAACAGCAAATACATTTGTGCCCTTCTTTAGACATAGTTATTCGTAGTTTTTTGTGATAAGACTGTATTCTTCAATTCCTTCATAAGACTCAAGTGTTGTTAGAATGGCAACGCCTCCCCCTCTACTCTCCATGCGATTCAAAAAGAAGTGATTGTACCCTGGTAGCATGAAATGTTCTGACTCATCAGTATACCACGTTTCTGTGAACAATAAAAGGTCAAAGTTTGTGCCACATGATTCCAACAGTGAAGTGACATTATCCTTTTTTGGTTGCAGTGATCGGGCGTTCAAATGCATCACTTTGAACAGACTACGCGTGTTTTTTCTAGATTTCAAAATGCGCTGAATGTCTTCAGCGAGTATATAACTAGCCGACAACATGGTAAAAAGATACATCACCCAATACTTCAAAAGCTTCACTACTTAAGTGGCGCTAATTTTTTCAAGATCACTTTCTCTACAGATTGTCACGTTAGGCGACGTCTACGTGCGACGGGCAAAAATGTTTCCGTTGCTTGTCCAAACAAACTTCCAACCATGTTCACGCTTTCGTGAAATCGCCATGCCCAGTAGTCTCTTTATTTCCGGACAAAAGTGCTCATTGATATAGATAGGGGCGTCACTTTGCAAGCCGATGGTAGCGTTCGTCATCTTCTTTTTTCGAGCGACATTGAGAACCCTGTCACACTTTTCACGGTGTTAGAACTGAACAATGCTGTTTGGTTTTTCTTTATCTTTACTCGGCGCCCGGTGATACACATCGACGTCACAGGCTAATATGGGTTCTCCGATAGCCTGTCCAACTTTTATCAAAAGCTGTGCAATGTTCTCATCGGCTGCCGTTACAATTCCCTTAATTTCAATGTTTCAATTTCACGAGTATTGCTCTGATTTTAGCATGTACGTTTCACAGGTAGCAAGCCCCTTTTCTGGAGTGATGATCCTGAGTTTGAGAGTGTCATTTTCTTTCTTGATTTGCTTGTTCTCATTCAGAACAAAGTCAAGTCGGCGATTCACATTATCGAGACTGTTGCTAACATGACTTAAGCTGGATTTAATTTACTCAAATTCCGCACGCATCTTGCGCTTGTCTGTGCGCATTCCTCGTTCAAAAGCCTCTTTCGTGCTTTTTCACTCGGTTTTCATTTGCTCTTTAAACTCTTGCAATAGTTTGGCGATTTCTTTTCACATGATAAGTACAGAGGCTCACAGCAAACACAAAGAAAAATAAATCACAGAGCAGCAGCGACAGCGGCTAGAAATATTGCACAAACCTATCATAGATCAATGCAAGAACCTGTGCACCAACCTGGAAAAAGCAGTAGATGCTTGTGAAAAGACTAGCGTACACCACTGTCACTGCTGCCGAAATGCCGGTTCGGCGGGCGGTTCCAGATATATAAGGTGGCTGGTTGAAGCCTCGTACACCAGTCGTCGCTTGCAGTCAATCGTCGTGCTCCTCGCATGCATCGAAAAGATTGTAGTTCCCGCACACCAGCCGTTTAGCAGTGTTCAGAAGTGCTCGACATCCAACGGAGTCAAGGTCAAAGCCAACTCCGTGTCAAAACGTACACTAAGAAATTCTTCCACGCGAAGCGATTCCGATCCTGGATCCTCTAAGGCTTCTGCTGAAAATGCCATGCTTCCAATCAAGATAGCCGCAGAAGATGAAGCAGGAAGCAGTCGAAAATCCTCGCATTCGACGCGAATCACTTTGCAGTTCCACACCAGGCGCCAACAGCGCACTTGAAAAAAAGCACACCCACTACACCCAAACGAGAACTGTCAAGGAACACACAATATCACTTTGTTGCGACGAAGATCTCCACGTCTTCACAGCCACGTTGACGGTGCAGGTAAAGGATGACTGGCACGTTTTGTCACACTCGGTTGGAGAGTACACGTTGTTGCAGGCGCGCACGCGACGTTCATTCGATAAGTAACGCGCGTCAAAATACGGCAAAAGAAAGCGAAGACGAAAAAGCACGCGCGATGCCGATCGCTGCCTCCGGCAGCGGGACAAGCAACTGGTGTGCTGGGCCGCCGTCACGAGTTTTTTCATTCGGCATAAGAGAAAATTGTTGTGTGTGTGTGTGTGTGTGTGTGTGTGTGTGTGTATGTGTGTTGCGGTGGGCAACAATGTAGTATTCGATCATTTTAGAATTGAAATTAGGCACCGACTACGGCACCCTACAGGAAAGTGCCATAGCGCGAATGGTGGCGCCCATGCGATGCACAACGCAGAGGTCAGTAGATTCACTCTGCGTGTTCAAAGCCGGAACACACCGCGGATGTATTTTTCGCCCATGCAGGTGAGCACTTCAACTTGAGAGCTTCCGATACGGCTGAACTAGACTGCACGTGCAGGCCTTTCTTTTATTATGGTCTTCTCACCCGTCCTGAATACACTGTGAGAGTTTCTGAGTACGTTTCGCCACCTGTCGACGGTAGGGGCGCCGCGACTCTGACCTTGCAGTATAGACTGCCAAAAAAGCAAGGAAAATTTATGGCTAAAAGGGAAAGTGACAGGGCAAATAACACTTCTTGCTTTCGTGTACTTGTGGATGGGATAAAGGCCAGAGAGGAAAACTAGGCAATGGTGGAGTGTGTATCAAAGGACATTGAGGAATTAGGAGGAGAGTGCGAGATAATTATACTAGGATATATGAATGCGCTGGGTATACCGACCTGAAAAGCAAAATAATCATGGATATGTGTGGAAGGCTTCATTTGATCATTTCCAACAGTACCGAGAAGTGTGAAGGGTAAATAACATAGGAGGTAGGAAGGCTGCAGTCGACGATAGATTACACACTGATGTCACATAGGATGTATGATAATCTCGACGGACTGCACATAGATGAAGGTGGCTCCAGAAGTCTGGGTAGTCATCACAAACGTATCAAGTTAAGTTTTGGAAGAGCAGTGAAAGTGGGAAGGAGACAAGCTTAGAAACTACAGGCAAATTTTTATTCAGAAAAGGTAAATTGAAATAGCTGCTGAATAAATTGAGAAAGTAATCACTGAGGACAATAAAACAGTGTGGACATACACAAATATATTTAGACTGTTTGAGCTAGAGCTTGCTATGGCACGTGACAAGTCACCCCGGAAAACAAGACAAAAGCCCAAGAATTGGTCGGGAGAGCCATAGCAAAACGTCAAAAAGCCTCTAGGGAACACAGACATGCTCAGCAGTGGGGTGAACCGACAGATAAAGTTGAAAGAAAATGGGACATCTTTCTAAGCTGTAGAAGGGATGCATTCCTTCTGTTCAATGAAAAGATTAAAAGAAATGGAGCTCAGTTGCTGGCAGAAGTACATAAAAAGGATAGAAAGGCAGCTGCAAAATTTTGGAGCCATCGAAACTCCCTAGGAAATGAGACGAGCCTAGAGTAGAGGTTTATAACTACAGCTCAAGGTGCTAGGTTAGAAGAGGACGAAGCTATTGAATATATAGGAACAAGAGTGACAGAAAAATTTCTACAAAGAAGTGCTTTATGCACCACAATAGACAAGAATGAATCAAGGGGCGCAATGGCTTCATTTTCACAACGAGAGTGTGTAGGGCTGAGAAATAGGTTCCTAGTAGTACATCAACAGGCCCAGATGGCATTCTAATTCTGCTAATAAAGACATTAGGTCTGAAGTCTAAGCAGGCTTTGAGAGAGGCAGTGGGCAACATAATATTCGATGGAGAAGTTCCCGGTGGATGGAAATTCAGCAGGATGAGCATGATCTATAAAGAAAAGGAGGACAAAGGAGGAATAAATGAGGAAGGACAGGGAGGTTAGCAAGGAGGTAGCAAGGAGGACAAAGCGGACATCAACAACTACTGTCGTATAACAGTGACATCAATTGTCTACAGGCTGGCGATGCAGATTTTAAAGAAAGACGGCAGGCATGGATACAGGATGAGGGGGTGCTGGTGGAACTGCAGAATGGGTTTCGGAAACACAGAAGGTTGAAAGTGTTACGACCGGCATCATTATTGAAGATTTTCGGTCTTTGTGAACGGGACGAGAATATTCCGACGCATTCAAAGCAAGAGTGTGCTGTCAAGACGGGTTCATTTCCTCTCGGCAAAACCTGAACGAGAGATTCGGGTCTGATCCGCGCAAAGAAAACGCATGAGCCAAGGAAGGCCATTGTGAGCTCGACTCAAGAAACGCCATTAAGTTTGTTGCGAGCAAGGCTTTTGAGGCAGACAAGGAGGCAGCTGGGCCATTTTCGAGGTCACCGAGGATCAGGAAATCTCGGAACCAGCACGGTATTTGCAGTTCAGCCTGAAAGCTAAGACCAAACTGGTTGTGGCTGCATCTTGCGAGGAGAAGCGGAGCCCCGGATATGCGCAGCTAAGCCGCAGCCTCTAGCAAATGACGAGGAATGGAATGTGGGTTTGAAGGAAAGAAAAGGGCACTATCTGCTGTTGCACTTGCGGGAGCCCGCCTCGATGATGGGGGATTAGTCGACCACTCCTCCGTCCCCCTTCCTCCATAAGATCAGCTGAATGGGGTGACATATTTTGACAATATGTTGTCACACCAATACATTGTCCTACTCAAACACAGTCAGGCAAGTTTGACACGTGCACCGGCAGCCGGTTTTTTGAACCTCACCCAACTGCCAGAAGAGTCTCAGAAACCAAGATCATCTAAGATCATTGGACGTGCGCGAAACTTGGTGACGTGTGCGAAACGTCGGTGTAGTGCGTTTGTGACCATATTTGGGCATCGTGTATGTAATAACGTGAGCAGCAGACAGCATACCAAGAAGCAACTGATTAGTTTATTCAGAAGACGCACCATATATAGGCGCAGAACCACGTGATCGGTCGCACAGGAATGCGCGCACTGGGTGCGCAGTGATAAGTGACGTCACGCTACAACACTCCTTCCCCTTCAGATTACTTCCGAAAGTCACTGGACTGGTATCTGTTCGGGGCATGTCGTACACGTGCACTACGACGCAGAGTTGGAAGTTCGGCTGCAGGTGGCGCGTCGTCGGCACTGGGCTGGTCCGGCGAGCCGGAGGCAGCTGCTCCGGCCGTGGGCGATGCAGTTGCCGGAAGGAGAGACGTCGCAGAGTCGGTTGCGTGTGGATTTACGAGAGGCGACCCGGCGACTGGCCCACACGCCATCGGAACCGTCGGTGGAGTCGTGTCTACGGATGCCGTTGGAGCAGGTTGTGCCTGCGGATAACTTGAAGAATCCTGGCTTCCGTGGCGGGCTCTGATGTGGTCCGAATGCGTGAATCGCACCGCCTGCGACACTTTCACCAGATAGGTTACGGGACTGATAACCTGTGTCACGACACCATCTTCCCACGACACTGTTTCACCTCGCACAGTCTTCACCCACACAGCGTCCCCCACAGCAAAACATCGCGGAACCCCCCTAGACATGTCCTTTTGCACTTTGGTACGTTGCTGCTGCTCCCGCATGGAGAGCTCGAAATCTGGTTTTAGCAATGACAGCTTTACCCGTGGCTGTCTTTTCAAGAATAATTCTGCCGGGGTCTGGCGAGTGGTACTGTGCGGAGTAGTCCTGTAACTCATTAGATAGCTGTCCAAGCGTTCCCGAAATGAATGTTTGTGGTGGCTAGCTTTGTCCTGCAAGACATGCTTTGACAGTGCTTGTTTGGTAGTCTGCACTAAACGCTCGGCCGCTCCGTTAGAAGCCGCGTGATAAGGAGGTGTCTTGACATGCCTTACACCGCTTACACTCAAGAAGGCCGCGAACTCTTCGGAAATGAACTGCGGTCCATTATCACTCACCAGTACCTCTGGCAGACCATACGCGGCAACATACTACGTAGCTTCTCAATGGTTTTGTTAGCAGTAGTGGATGACATAGGCAAGACCTCGATCCATTTAGAGAACGCGTCGACGAGAACCAAGAACGCCTGAGAGCCCTTTACCGCATAATCGACGTGCACGCGTTGCCAGGGCCTTGTGGGATAATTCCATGGTTGCAAAGGAACCGGTGAAGCAGCTTTTTGGACGGCCTGACAAACCTGACATTGTCGAACGTAGCTCTCAACCGAAAGGTCGAGGCCAGGCCACCACACAAAGCTTCTTGCTAACGCTTTCATGCGACTAGATCCCGGGTGGTCCTCATGCAATAGCTGCAAGACCTGTAGCTGGAGCTTATCAGGTATGATCACCCTTGATCCCCACGTTATGCATTCTTGCTCTACTGATAGCTCGTCGCGCCGGGAATAAAATGGTCTAAATGCTTCAGAGCACTCTGAAGGCCATCCATTTAAGATGAAGTGCGTCACGCGAGACAAGGTGGGATCACGTCGTGTGGCTCGCGCTACGTCATCCGCTTTGAGGGGCATGCTGTCAAATAGCAAGAGACACTCGGAAGGTTCATCGGCCGCTACAATAGGCCGTGGAAGCCGAGACAGAGCGTCAGCCACTTCAACATTTCTTCCCTTTCGGTATTTTAGTTTATACTGGTACGCTGCCAGGGTAATTGCCCATCTTTGCATTCGAGCTGCAGCAAGCGCAGGCACCGGCTTGTCGTGGCCTAATATTCCGAGCAATGGCTGATGATCTGTATAAAGAGTGAACTCTCGTCCATACAAGTAGCGGTGGAATTTTCTTAACCCAAACATCAGTGCTAATGCTTCGCGTTCGCACTGAGCATAGTTTTTCTCTGCGGCTGTAAGTGTTCTAGAAGCAAATGCCACTGGCCTTTCGTGTCCCTCTGCGGTCTCATGAAAAATGACAGCCCCCAATCCATACGACGAAGCGTCACATGTCATAGCCATTGGTTTCGCCACATCGTAAAAAGTGAGCACATTACTCTTGACAAGTAACAGTTTCGTAGAAGCAAATGCTTCGCTACACTCCCGTGTCCACGACCACCTTTCGCCCTTGCGCAACAGACGGTACAATGGCTCTGCCACGCAGGCAAGGTTACTTAAGAACTTTGCATAAAAGGTTAACATGCCGAGGTAAGCCTTTAGCTCTGTTTGGCAAGTGGGCTCTGGCGCTTCTGTGATCGCCTTTATCTTTTCTTCTGTAGGATATATACCTTCAGCGCACACAGTGTGACCGAGATAAGTCACAGTGCTCTGAAAAAACCGACACTTTTCCTCTTTCAGTGTCACGTTGTAGTCACTCAGCCGCTGCAGGACTAGTTCCAACGTTTTTTGACAGTCGGCTAAGTCTTTTCCCGACACAATGACGTCGTCTATGTAACATCCCACGTGCGGTATGCCTTTGAGCACCTCATCCATGAAGGACTGAAAAATGGCTGGCGCACTGGCTACCCCAAATGGTAAGCGCTGGAACTCGAACAGCCCCCTGTGCGTATTAATAGTTAGCAGTGGTCGGGACTCGGCAGTGAGCGGAATCTGCTGATACGCGGCCGAAAGATCCAACACACAAAACACTCTGCCGCCAGCTATGGCAGAGAACAAATCTTCCGGTCTAGGCAATGGGTAGTGGTCGGTCTTTAAAACAGGATTAATGGTGACTTTGTAGTCCCCGCACAGCCTCAGTGAACCATCTTTCTTTTGGATTACGACTACTGGCGTGGCCCAATCGCTCCGATTTACGGGGCGTATAACACCGCTTTTCTCTAGCCTTTCTAGCTCGCCTTCCACTTTATCTCGAAGCGCAAATGGGACGTTTCTGGCCTTGCCAAAAATAGCCGTACAATTCTGGCTTAAAACTATCCTTGCTTGATAGTTTTTTACTTTTCCAGGTTGCTTAGAAAACACCCCTGGGAACTTCTTTTTAACCCCCTCTACCTTGTGAGAGTCGCTTACATTTATAGCAAACACGCTTTTCCAGTCAAGCCCGAGCCTTTCAAGCCAACTTCGCCCCATCAGCAATGGTAGCTGCTTGCCCTTATCTTTGACGATAATAGCGGGTAGCCGCAAAGACTGTTTTCCCACCGTAACGGAAACGTTGCATTGCCCTTTTACTGGAACAGGTTCCCCAGTGTATGTTTTTAGGGTGACTCGAGATGGCTCGCACTTGACATGAGGAAATGCGTTCAGCCTCACACTCTCAGGAATTAGTGTTACAGCTGCTCCCGTATCAATCTGCATGCAGAGGTCTTGCCCTTCTACGTTTAGCTGCACTTCATACCCAGAACGCACGGTATTGATAACATGGTACACATCTAATTCAGAGTCACTATCAGAGCAGTCCACCACGTTTGCAGTCTTGAGTTCTGGCGCTTACAGGTTATCAGGTTATCAGGCGTGACACAGGTTATCAGTCCCGTAACCTATCTGGTGAAAGTGTCGCAGGCGGTGCGATTCACGCATTCGGACCACATCAGAGCCCGCCACGGAAGCCAGGATTCTTCAGCAAATAGGGCGAGTTGCGTTTCCTCGCGTCTTATGCCTGCCACTATTCTGTCTCGCAGCGCGTCTTGCAGAAACTGACCGAAATCGCACTTCCTTGCTAACTGTTTTAAGGCCACTATGAAGTCCTCGACGCTTTCCTGCTCTTCTTGTGCTCGCTTGTTAAATTTGCAACGTTCGGCAATGACCGAGCACTGTGGGCTATAGTGTTTCTTCAACAGCACTGTGACCTCTTCAAAGGACTTGTCCCCAGGAACAGCGGGTACTACCAAACTTTTGAGCACCTCGTACGTTCGTGGTCCTATCACACTCAAGAATACTGCCAGCTTCTTTTCCTCTCTGATGTCATTCGCGGTGACGAAGTGCTCAAAACGCTCCAGATAGGATTCAAAATTCTGATCCTTCTCGTCGAACTCGTCTAGCTTGCCTAGTCGCGCCATTGTTCAGTAAAAGTGCAGTATACTTATCGGGTTGCTTTCCCCGACGACTGCGTTGCCTCTTGCCGAAGGTAGTGCCGCCGAGTTCAACCGTCCCAGGCCATGGCTGCCGTTGTTTTCTGGTCCATGGCTGTCGACCGCCGATCGCCCGCAATACTGCTTCGTACTGAGCTAGTACAAGGGGGCGGATCCCATCCTCGTCGCCAGTGTAATAACGTGAGCAGCAGACAGCATACCAAGAAGCAACTGATTAGTTTATTAGAAGACGCACCATATATAGGCGCAGAACCACGTGATCGGTCGCACAGGAATGCGCGCGACTGTGCCATCCCCACATGCATTGTGTGGTGTCTTTCCCCTCCTTCGTGGGTGGAGCACTTAGGCTATGAAGCGCCTTATTGGCGGAAGCCTCGGACAATACGCCCAGGGTTGGCAACAAGGCGCTATATAAGCCGAAGGCTTTCGTGTAATTTGAGTTATATAGTTCAACAGTTCCTCTGTACAGTTCTTGACTTCTCATTCTCCTTCTCAGTTACGAACCATATAAATAAATTTTCGTTTTTACGAGTGCCTCATCTGACTTGTTCGACGATGGGTCCTAGGACGGGGGCCCGCTACCAAACTGAGACCCGCAGGACCCAGAGTCGCAACAGAAGACAATCTGTTCTCACTGACGCAGTGCATCGAAATAGCAGAAAACGAACACAGGCCCCTGTGGCTAGCAATTTTGAATATCAAGGGAGCGTACGATAGCGTGGTACAAGAGGAATTGTGGGAATACTGGACACACTAGGCGTGGAAGTTGTAGTCACTAATCTTTGAAAGGATATCTATAAAGTCTGCAAGGTAATTATACAGTGGGAAAAACAGGCATCCAAGCCTGCAGAGGTAAAACGGGGGCTTAGGCAGGGGTGTCCCCTGTCACCCTTATTATTCATGGTGTACCTATGTGATAAGTGAAGTGCGCGTTTCGTGAAGTGCGCGAGTGCAACCAGTGTTCGGTTTAAAATTTGCGCGAGTGCACCGGCATAGGAAAGGAGACGACGACGACCGATGGTGTGGACGCGCGCTCTCGCGATGTATTCGGTGAGGAAGACGATGGGCAGACGAGGCGCGTGAAGTTCGGACCAATGAGAGGCCCCCACGCTGGTTTGGAAGAAGCCCGAACGAAGAACGGGGCAGACGTGGCCGGGACGCGACGGAGGCAAGCGGGCTACCAGGGCGCGGGGGTGGCGGCCGAGTTCCTGAGGCAAGGCTGCTGCGGGCTCCCACCTGGTCGGGCACCCGAGCATCATCTATCGTCTGGCGTTGGCCAGGCCGCTCGTCGTCTGGCGTTGGCCAGGCCGCTCGTCGTCTGGCGTGGGCCAGGCTGCTCGTCGTTTGGCGTTGGCCAGGCTTCTCACCATCTGGCTTTGGCCAGGCTCGTCCCGTTTCCAGGGCTACGTCCAAGCGTCGGAGGACGAACGCTGAGAGGTTACGGACCTTGGTGCGCCCGGAGCTACCTTCAACCCGAGCAACGCTTGGACTTCTGATCTACCTTGTCTGCACCCCATCGCATCAACCCTCGCCGTCTACAAGAGTGCCGCGACCGAACGGTGACAGTCGCTTTTGCTGTTGCGGAACTTACGCATCCTTAGCATTTCGCGGTCATTAGGTTAATTTCTCCTCGAATTTGTGTGCTTTGTTTGTTTTTCCTCTTGTTTCTTTCTCTTTATCTAGTTTATTGAAAATATATTTAGTTGTTTTTCTTGTGTGCATAAACGGTCTCGTGTTCTCCTTACCGATGTGGGTTTTGTCATCGGTTTGTATGCACAAGAACCTACACGAGAGCTTGTGGGTTAACTAGCCTCGTGACAACCTACAAGGATTAGAGGCCAAATGAGAGAGAAGTGGACTGGGCTTCAACCTATCTTACGTCAAACAAAGAAAACTTATTGAACACCCACTACCAGCATTTATGTACGCAGATGATATAGTGCTAATGGCCGACAACAAGGGAGATTTGCAGAGATTGATGGACATCTCCGGTAATGAGGGAGATAGATTAGATTTCAGTTTCAGTAAGGAAATTTAGCAGTCATGATATTTAATGACAGTGAAGGTAGTGAGTTCAGAATACAGGACGCCACGCTAAAGATAACAGATAAATACAAATATCTGGGCGTATAGGTGAGCAATGGGGCCGAGTACCTAAGGGAACACGAAATATCTGTGACGACTAAAGGTTACAGGAATGCAGCGGTACTGAAAAACAGGGCACTGTGGAATTACAATAGGTATGATTTTGTGAGATGAAATTGGAAGGAGGTCATGGTTCCTGGTCTGAAGTTCGGGAATGCAGTCTTGTGCATGAGATCAGAAGTTAAAGCAAGATTAGAAATCAAGCAACGTGGAATAGGTAGGCTTGCTTTAGGGGCTCACAGGAATACACCAAGTCAGGGAGTACAAGGTGATATGGGATGGACATCATTTGTGGGCAGGGAAGCTAGCAGCAAGATAAAATTTGAGAAGTGCTTGAGAGAAATGGGGGAGGAGGGGGGGGGGGCTAGGAAGGTATTCAGCTACTTGTACATGAGGAATGTTGATACAAAATGGAGGAAGCAAACCAGAAAGTTTTCTGGTAAATACTTAGAAAACAGCAGAGGGCCAAACAAAAAAGAGCTGTTGGTTAAGATAAAAGTGAAGGAAGCTGAGACCGATATGTAGAAAATTGGAATAATAAAGAAGTCCGCAGTTGGGATCTATAAACATTTAAGCAGGAAATTGCCAAGGAAAGATCTACGATAACACTCGGGGTAGCTCTCTACTGTTTGAGGCCAGGACGGGAGGATTGCGATCCAAGACATATCGGGCCCAATACGAAGGGGTAGGCACGGTATGCAATGCGTGTGGCGAGAAAGAAGAAACTACCGAACACTTGATAATGTTCTATAAAGGGCTTCACCCTATAGTTCAGGATGATGGCGCAGAGTTTTTCAAATTACTGGTGTTTAGGAACAGGGAGGTCAAAGTAGACTTTAAGCGAGTAGAATTAACTAGATTGAGGTTATCTCATTGTTGGCTAAAGTCAAGGCACGAGTAAAAATTAAAACCTTCACTGCAAAGTACGAATCCTCAACCTCACTATTTAAAGGAAAAAAATAATAAATATAGTTTTTGGCTCATTAAGTATTACGGCTTGGTGGCGCTGGCCACCACCCGATCTAAAGGGTACAGCCATATCCAGCCGTCCATCCATGCATGCATCTTCTGCACCGCGCACACTGCACAAGGAAGTTTGTCGATGTGAAACCGAAGAATGTGGGTTCTCGACGCAGAGGGGGAGGAGGATTATTAGATAAATCAGGTATAGAGGGAGGATCGCCTACAGAAAAACCTGATCTTAGCAGACGGCTTTCCCCTTAATGTATAGGTACGTATGTACTCGTGAGTAATGCAAGCTAAAACTCAGTACATATCCAGCTTCTCAGGACACCAGCGGCTTAGTTCCCATGAATGACACCACTTGGCGTTTCTACCTTAAAGAATTCAGAAGTCCTGCCATGACGTATGCATTGACGTGGCAATGAATAAAATATAATAAAAAACGGTGCACACACCTTGTTACTGTCGCTTCACCTCAGTGCAAAGATAAAAAGAGTGCGGAGCATGGGCGTTATCTCGACGGTGACGAATGCCAATGAATTGACAGTTTTACTAGGCATACCGTGCGAGACAGCTCCCAGCATCGCGCATGAAATGTCTGGGCGTCATAGACGCATCCTTGGTGTATCAAAAAAGCGTATTTGTTTTTTTTTAACTTTCTGCGCTGCCGTATCGGTGGGAATATTAGACAAGCACGCTGCTTTCAGGGTTTCGTGTTCACTTAGCGTCAAGCATTATGATTGAGTACGAACAGGACATAGCGGTTGTATTTTTTTTTTTTGCGTGCACTACCTAAGCTATATACTCGCTTGCTCCTTGCGTTACGTTGAAAACAAACTGCATAACTTTGACAACGCTAGAAAGTAGAGTATGAAAACAAAGTGTAAGACGTGTTTTTTTGTTTTCATTTAAGCCTTGTCGCAATGATGCTGCCACCATCAGCTTGGCGCCTTCTAAGCGCACGTCTGTGGCTCGACTTACGCACGCAGTCAGGCTCGCTTTCATATCGCGCCATGATCTCGGTGTCGCAAGGACATTTCCGCTTACGATCAATACCGGTTACCGGTGCGAATTGAATTCAGTTCAGAGGTTAGCCACTCAGCGATTCAAAGTAATTATGCAACAGCTCCTCAGACTATGACGTGATCAAACCCGCGATCAAGCCCGCCCGTGTCCCTGTCGACACTGTCGGGTCCACGTGCTCCGCACACTGTGCTCCCATCCCGCGTAAGCAAAAAAAAGCAAGAAAAAAACGCATCAATGGTCCCCTC